TACTTCTTTAATGTCCCTTAGTCAGAAAATAATCAAACCTTGACTGAGTCTCAATACTTCCATTCTAAAAATATACAAAAGCTCGTACTCAAATGGAATGTTGTCACTCAAATCATGGAAAAGAAAGTCATGATGAACATGAACTTATTTCATGTTTAAATATTTTATTGGGACATTCACGTGAGTATTAGGACTGTATATCTATCTATGCCATTTGTTCCATTCCAGGAACTGAACGAGTCTTGTGAGAAGAACCTGCGGGATCACCAGACATACCGCGACACATACATGGACACGTCTGATTGGCTGGGCTCGGCCATGGACAAGCTTGGTCTGTGCAGCGATGTGAGGGGAGACAGGCATGCTATTGAGGCACAGCTGCACAAGGTTGAGGTGAGAAGGGATGATAATAATAATAAAAGTAATTATAATAATGATAATAATAATAATAATAATAGAAATAATCTTAATAATAATAATAAATGATATAACGATCATAAGGATCACTTCTATAGCGCTCATTCCATGATGACTCCAGGTGCTTGACAATGAAATAGAATTTTAACAACTTACACGATGTAGACTGCTCCATTCAATGTAGAACAATCCTTTCAAATACATGTACACATGTAATATACCAACAAATATGTTCTTTCAGAAGAAGAAGAACCCAAATAGACAATCATTGTGGCTACTGATCACACTTGTTGGAAAAAGAATCAAACTAGCTGGTACAATAAGATTTCAAAAATGTATCTTTATAGCAGGTTTTAATGAGGTCATGTAGGCTTCTCTCTCTTAAATACAGTGGGAAGGATGCCTAGGGAAGAATAATTTCTCTACCTCTAAGGTCACTCCCCTCAACTAACCTACTTTTCAGTAAAAGAGGTATATATCTCAAACTGTTCTCTGTGTAGGAAATCGCTGTAACGAGTGAAGTTGGGCGCAAGAAGCTGCAGGAAGCCCAGCAGAAGGGCGACACGGTCATCCCAGAGACGTCCAGTCAGGGTCAGGAGCTCATCAACGAGGAGTTGGAGATGCTGACCAATGACTTTGAGGGCTTCGAGTCGGACCTCAGTGACCTGAAGAATACACTCAGTAAGTGTCCTGTGAGAGAGAAATGCCTTGATTGGCTTAGATAGAGGGAGTGAGGAAGAAAGAGTACCTGGGAATGGAGACTGCAGAAGCTTGTCAAAAGAATGAAAATGGGAAAAGGGGGACAGAGAATGTAAAAAAAAAAGAGTATAATGAAAAAGAAATTTTTCAGGGACGAGGCTTCTGTAAAGATAAAAATAAATTTGTTTCATATAACATGGTTTATGATCATTTATTTAAGGATCAAAATGGACACCATGTTGCTGGAAATGTTAGTCAGGTCTTGGTGGGAACATTTATCCATTAAACCATTTTCAAGATTTCGATGATTGTGAGATTTTGAAAAATATCGCCTATACTTTAGCCTGTGGTCGTGCTTTCGCATCCTGTCTATGTTTTTTAATACAAATTGGTGATTATTTTTCTTTCAGCCACTTTGCGTGATCAGTGGACTCGGTATGAAGAGTTTTACGAACAGCTCAGCCACTGGATCAAGGACACAGAAAATGCCATGAAGGCCGACTCTGATCTGCGCGCCTCTTTGGAGCAGAAGCTGGAGCAGATTAACAGGCACAAAGTAAGAGAAATTATATATGATATTGAGACTTCTGTATTTATCTCTTCTGATGATGAGTTATTTGTATGTTGTAAAATCCTGTCATTAACACAAATAAGAAATAAATAAAAGTTTTGGGGAAAAATGTTCTGGAATATTGTTTCATGTAGGTTGTGATTTTGTGAATTATTTTTTTTCGCATATTTGATGTTTTGATTTCTAGTTGTTTGCAAAATGAGACTTCTAGTTTTAATACTCTTTCTCTTGTTTGCTGTAACTATAGTCTTTTGCCAGATGAATTTATATTGTTTGTTCAAGGATGTCGCCAATAAGATATACAATTTTGTCTGTGTTCTGTGATTAATTTATACTTTGATCTTTATTTGTTCTCCTGTTTCATGATAACTTGTTTTGACTTCTAATTAAACAAATCAGACGAATTTATCTCCGTATATTTTTTCCTTTGATAAAAAAAAGAGGGGGTGTGGAATGGTGATTATGATTTGACCTTTCATGTTTCTCTACTTCTATCATCAGGCTGCCCATGAGGAAACAGTTCAACAGCAGGAATCATTTGATCATCTCGCTGAGCAGGCCCAGATCTTGATGCAGTCCTCCACAGATGGAAGAGTGTCTACTCAATTGACACAACTCAGCTCTCGTTACTCCGCGCTCATCACCCTTTCCAAGGTTGGTTTGTTGTAAAATAATCTTTAGTTAGTTTCAGAGGTCTTTTGTCTGATGCAACTATTTCTCTTTACCTGGCATGTAGATCTTCTTTATCGATTTGTTTTCCGCTCTGTTTTAGAAGGACTGGAGTTGAGAAAAAGGAGCTATGTGTTGATGTATTGAATCATTTATGAGGTTTGATGATGTCTCTGTTTTTGAGAGTTTCTGAGGTCATCCTTTTAAGAGGTATGGAGATTGCATTTTTGTTGCTTGTTTTTTACATTAGAATCTGTAAAAAATGTTAACATAAACCTCCCGGGTCTTGCAACCGTATTAAAAATTTCAAGGAGTAACATCATTCCAATTCACCAACATTCTCATTCTTTCTCATTGTTGTCCTCAGGATCTGCTGAAGCGCTATGAGCAAACTGTGCAGGATCACCAGCACTACAGTGATGCATTCAGCCGGTCGCGTGCCTGGCTTCAAGAAACCAACGACCGTCTGTCTGTTTGTGCCGATACCTCTGGTGACCGCTACACCATACAGACACAGCTGGAGAAGCTGCAGGTAAGATGTCTTCTTACTGTAACCAAAATTCAGGGAAATTACTGGTCAGTTGTTTTTTTTTGTAAGGGAAAAAAGGAACCAAAAGAGAGGGGGGGAAAAAGAGAAAATTTTCATTTTCTTTTTTCTTCTTTCAGATAAAGGCTTGCAATGGCATGAGCTTTCATGTATCCGAACAGACTACTTTCTCTAAAGAGCAAAGACACAATGAATTTCTAAAGTTAAAGAGCACCATTTCAAGATAATTTGACTCTCCACTTCAAATTTGCTCAGCTTGTTTTGGGGGAGTTATGATTATTGTAATGATATGAACTACACTCATGTAACGCATTTCCTCCAGAAAAGTGCTCATTGTGCTTTACAGTAATACAGAGAATGTAGATCATGATAGAGAGGCACAAGGGAAGAAAGTTTGTCAAATGTTTATGAAAAACCAAACAATAATGATGAAACATTTCTGTGTTCCAGAGGTTTGTCAGGGTAAGCGGATGTGGCTATTTGAATGATGTGGTAGAGCTAACAGTCTCTCAGCACTCAAGTTTGAAACAAAATTCTTTCCACTTTCTTGTTAAAAAATCTACATCTAGCAGTTTTCATTATTTTATAAATTTATTCATTTATTTATTTATTTGTTTATTTATCTTTCTATTTATTTATGTATTTATTTATTCATCCTTTATTCATTTTTATGGGCATGTTTTTAAAAAATTCTTTCCTGTTTTCTTGGAATTGGTTTCTAGATCTATGGTACTGTGTGAAGGAAAATCTTCAAATATTGGAAGAACAATGTCTTTCTTACACTTAATGTTTTTTCACGTTTGCAAGTGATCCGCACCATAATTTGTCTCCTGAAGTTTCCTTCCTGTGTTGCCATCCAGGTTGGACCTTTGTATTTATGTGGCCTGTGTTTTTGTCAAGAAACAATCTACCTTTCTATTTTCATCGGTTCATTAACACTGAAAATATGAATCATGCAGAGAAGCACACTAAACAAATTTTTATGAACTGTTTGAATGTCACATACAAATACCCACTCAAAATGTCAGCACTTAGCTTTGGATTTTTTTCAATTCTCCAGAATCTTTTTATTTATTGAGTTTCAGTGGGTATTCACATTTTTTTGGAGAGAACCATTCTGAAAGCATAAAAGCAATGATTAAAGATTGTCTTATCTCCTGGCTCATGGAAACAATCATTAGAGTTTACTCCTTCATCAAGCTTTGCTTTGGCATTAAAAAAAAATTAATGGAACAATTTGCATTTACCTTTGACACCTGTGACTTTGAAGTCAACGAATATTAACCCCAAATTTAATTGTTAAGAAAAGCAGCCTCTGTTGCAGAAATCTACTACAGGTTCTCCAATTCAAATGAAATCTGTAGTACCACTGGATTGTCTTCATTTTAACCGTGTTTTCAATTAAGAGAGATTGCTTTGATAGCAAATATAAAAATCAGGGATTTTCTTTTTTGGTCTTTCATTTTTTTGGATTAATAGTCTTCAGTTTAAACGTAGTCCACTGTTTGTTTGTTTGGCATTGCAAGGTGTTTCATTCTTCTGTTGTGGTTTTGCTCTGTCAGGAGTTTGTGGTGGTGAAGGAGGAGGGCCAGATCTACTTGCACACGGCCATAACCTGGGGGGAGAAGGCCATGGCGAACACCTCAGTGGAAGGTCGTGAGGTTATCCGGACAGAGCTACAACAGCTACAGGTGGACTGGGATCTGATGATTTCTCAGGTACTGGTGGAAACTTGTTACAGTGGTTTGAGCCCTAATTTGAGTTTAAACTTTATGTTGTGTCATATTTAATCAATGTTTTTTTGTAAGAGAAGTTCTATAATGGCTGGTCTAATCATGATTAACAATATGGTTAATACTATTGAGTTCTTTCTTTGCGGAGTGGTTAGAGGGTTCACTGGTTGGTCCTATTTCTTTTCTTTCAGTACTTTCATCTGTTGTTTCTGTCTGTCTTTCTCCTTTTTTCACTGCAGTAAAAGGCAGTCGTTGAGTGGATGTCCTTCTCTTTACCTAAACAATGAAGCGGTCAATCACTCATGCCATTCCAAATTTTCTCTATATATCAATTCTAAAATACAATGATTGAAAAAAAGTTTATGACTATTTTAATGTTTTGAGTCGAGTTAAATAGAAGTCAGTGTTTATTAGGACACAGTTTTCTTTACCACTGGTCCATTCAAAAAGAATTGATATAGACAAGATTGGAGACAACTTTTCCTTTATTTTGTTTCTTTAAAAAATTTACCTTTTCTTCATTTTCAATCCCTTATCGATAAATATGATTGTTTTGTCACAGGTCACAGACACCAAAGTGATGCTGGAGTCCTGTCTACTGCAGTGGAGCGACTACAGCGCCTCCCATGAGCAGGTGCTCAAGTGGCTGAAGGACATGGAGAAACGCCTGAGGGACACGCAGCCCAAGGCTGATCTCAGTGAGAAGAAGGCTGAGTTACAGAGGGTTAAGGTATGTTTTGTTTATCTGTAAAGAAGCCATTCCATGAAAAAGGAAACTGCAGTGGCACATGTAAAGTGGAAATAATGACATGCTAAAAAATGTTTGTGCTGATTAAGCTATTTTTTCTTTGGGGCTTTTTTTTGGTCAGAGGTGACTTTCCTCAAACAGAAATACTTTAAAGAATGTTTCTATCACCATTTAAAAGTTTTTCAGAAATTCATCAACCCTGTGTTACATGTATCACTTCAGTTTCCTGTTTTATGGAATGAACCAAAAGAGATCAAGAGTTCCATTTTGACTAAAAGCACTTACTATTTGTTATCAAAGGAAATGGAGTTGAAATAATTGTCCTGCTGTTTTGTCAGTGGAGTCCGTCAGCAAATTTCAAGGAAGGAATACTGTACTCCACTCATTTCCCATTTTGTCAAAAACAAAGGAAATCCCCTCACTTGTTTTCACACGTCTGTTTCCCAAAAGACACATCTCTTGTCAAGTTTTCTAACCAATCATGTTGTTATTTTCCCTTTGTTCTCACCCACAGGGTTTGTACCAGGACATTGTGTCCTATGAACAGATGGTTGAGTCGGTCACCTCCAAGGCCACTGACCTGGCAGAGAAGAGCCCGGCCAGTCGAGCCACAATTGACACATCCCAGATTTCAGCACGCTACACCAGTGTCAAAGAGCAAGCCAAAGTAAGATATGATAAGATAAGATAACAATTAATTGACCTCCACAAAGATAATTTTTCTGTGGCATGGTAGATACATACATGCACTAACATATGTCATCCATCTCTCTCTCTCTCTCTCTCTCTCTCTGTGTCTGTGTGTCTCTCTGTGTCTCTCTCTCTCTCTCTCTATCTCTTGCTCTCTCTCTCTCTCTCTCTCTCTCTCTATCTCTTGCTCTCTCTCTCTCTCTCTCTCTCTCTCTCTCTCTCTCTCTCTCTCTCTCTCTCTCTCTCTCTCTCGCACACACACACACCCCCCCACTCACACACACACACACACACCCAAATTACTTCAAATTAAATGAAGTTTTTTTACATCTTGCTCATGCCATTCCTGTATCAATGGGTGGTTGGCAAGTGTTCTGGTGTGGTTTGCTCCTTTCCTATCAAACATCTATGATCCTTATCTCTCCTCCTTTTCTGAGCATGTTACTCTCTAGTAACACCTCTAATCATTGGCTTTCATATGACCCATTTGTGTTGCAAGTGATGTAATACTCTAACTAAAACCATTCCCCCCTATCTCTGTAGGATCTCCTGGCCCGCAGCGAGCAGAACGTGGCCCACCACCAGGACTTCCACGACAGCTGTAACAGCTTCTCTTCCTGGCTGCGCACGGACATTGAGAAACTGACCACCTGCTCCGACACGTACGGGGAGAAGTCTGCTATTGAAGTCAAGATTGAGAGGGCAAAGGTGAACTTTGAACTATTACTGTACTAGTAACTAACTTCTCCTTTTATCAGAAAATGACCTCGAGTATAATATGGGGGGTGTTCTTTGAGTCCAAAGCTAGCCCATTTTTAAAGGCCACGCGTATAATACGGGGTGAATTTCTGACATGTTGGAGAAGGCTCAACACATCTGATTTCAAGTACTATTTAGGCAAATGATCAGAAAATTTAGTGCAAAAAAGGAAAGTACATCCTAAGAAAATTACTCAGTTAATAATATTTAGTCCAACGTTTATTTCACATCACTGAACAATAATCAAAAGGAATTTGTCATATGAGAAGGGGTTATGTCACACGTATAATAAGGGCAGTATACTTTTGGACCTCTGGAAAAAATAGCTCGTATTATAGGCGAGTATTTATGATTACTTAATTTTATGTAAAGAGGTGTTATAATTTACATTGGAGAAGGCTAAGTGTGTAAAAAACAGATACCTATAGTGTGAGCAACTCTTTACAGCATGCCAATTTCCAAACAGAAAATTCACTTTACTTTGTGACTTCCTCCACAGTCGCTGGTCGCCAACTTGACAGAAGGTACACAGAGGCTCTCACATGCCACGAAAGCAGGGGAAGCTACTCTACCTAGTACATCTGCTTCTGGCCAGACAAAGATTCGACAAGAGTTGCAGGCCATGAACAAGGACTTTGAGGATTTCAGAGTTCAACTTGTTCAGGTAAATGATTTTTTTTCGTACAGGTAATACTCAGATAAACTTTGAATTAAAAAACGTCCAAGTTGATTTTACGTATGTAAACACAAGTTTAAAAACTTTTAAAATCATCCGTAAGTTGTTATTTTCAGATTTCTTCATATCTTCGCTCCCTATGATTTCATACACATTCTCTCTCTCTCTCTCTCTCTCACTCTCTCTCTTTCTCTCTCTCTCTCTCTCTCTCTCTCT